CTCTAGCAATCCATCATCTACTTATTACTTCCCAATGCCTACCTCTAGGCCCAAACAATGGTGAAGTGTCATGTAGTCGACGTTCACATGACACCACTAGAGGGATGACAACATACATCTCATCAAAATATCGAACGAATACCAAATTCACATGACTACTAATAGCAAGACTTCTCATGTCCTCAGGAACAAACGTAACTACTCACAAAGTAAACCATATTCATGTTCATAATCAGAGGGGTATTAATATGCATAATGGATCCGAACATATGATCTTCCACCAAGTAAACCAACTAGCATCAACTACAAGGAGTAATCAACACTACTAGCAACCCACATGTACCAATCTGAGGTTTGGATACAAAGATTGGATACAAGAGATGAACTAGGGTTTGAGATGAGATGGTGCTGGTGAAGATGTTGATGGAGATTGACCCCCTCCCGATGAGAGGATCTTTGGTGACGACGATGGTGATGATTTCTCCCTCCTAGAGGGAAGTTTCCCCAGCAGAACAGCTCTGCTAGAGCCCTAGATTGGTTCCGCCAAGGTTCCACCTCGTGGCGGCGGAGTCTCGTCCCGAAAGCTTGCTTATGATTTTTTTCCTTGACGAAAGACTCCATATAGCAGAAGATGGGCATCGGAGGGCCACCGGGGGGACCATGAGGCAGGGGGCGCGCCCAGGGGGGTAGGGCGCGCTCCCACCCTCGTGGCCAGGGTGTGGCCCCCCTCTGGAACTTCTTGCGCTCAGTATTTTATATATATTCTGAAAATAGCTTCCATGAAGTTTCAGGACTTCTGGAGCTGCGCAGAATAGGTCTCTAATATTTGCTCCTTTTCCAGCCCAGAATCCCAGCTGTCGGCATTCTCCCTCTTTATGTAAACCTTGTAAAATAAGAGAGAATAGGCATAATTATTGTGACATAATGTGTAATAACAACCCATAATGCAATAAATATCGATATAAAGGCACGATGCAAAAATGGACGTGTCATCGAATGTCTTCGCGATCCAACCGACCAAGTACCGAACACACGGCACCTCCGCGATCTGCACACGTTCAGCTCGGTGACGTCCCTCGTACTCTTGATCCAGATGAGGCCGAGGGTGAGTTCCTGTCAGCACGATGGCGTGTCGACAGTGATGATGAAGTTACCTACGCAGGGCTTCGCCTAAGCACTATGACAATATGACTGAGGTGTAAAACTATGGAGGGGGGCACCGCACACGGCTAAAGATCAACTTGTGTGTCTATGGGGTGCCCCCCTCCCCCGTATATAAAGGAGGGGAGGAGGAGGAGGGCTGGCCACAAGGGGCGCGCTCAAGGGGGGGAATCCTACTCCTAGTAGGAGTAGGTTTCCCCCTTTCCTAGTCCTAGTAGGAGAAGAAGGAAGGAGAGGAAGAAGAGAAGGGAAGGGGGGGCCTAGCCCTGGTCCAATTCGGTTTTGGGCTAGGGGGGCGCCACACCTTGGCATACCTCCTCTCTTCCACCATTAGGCCCATGAGGCCCAATAACTTCCCGAGAGGGGGAGGGGTCCGGTAACCCCCGGTACTCCAAAACTTATCCGAAACGACCCGAACCATTCCGATGTCTGAATGTAGCTTTCCAATATATGAATATTTATGTCTCGACCATTTCAAGACTCCTCGTCATGTCCGTGATCTCATCCGGGAATTCGAACAACCTTCGGTACATCAAATCACATAACTCATAATACATATCGTCATCGAACGTTAAGCGAGTGGACCCTACGGGTTTGAGAACTATGTAGACATGACCGAGACACATCTCCGGTCAATAACCAATAGCGGAACCTGGATGATCATATTGGTTCCTACATATTGTACGAAGATCTTTATCGGTCAAACCGCATAACAACATACAATGTTCCCTTTGTCATCGGTATGTTACTTGCCTGAGATTCGATCGTTGGTATCATCATACCCAGTTCAATCTCGTCACCGGCAAGTCTCTTTACTCGTTCCGTAATGCATCATCCCGCAACTAACTCATTAGTCACATTGCTTGCAAGTCTTATAGTGATGTGCATTACTGAGAGGGCCCAGAGATACCTCTCCGACAATCGGAGTGACAAATCCTAATCTCGATCTATTCCAACTCAACAAACACCATCGGAGACACATGTAGAGCATCTTTATAATCATCCAGTTACGTTGTGACGTTTGATAGCACACTAAGTGTTCCTCTGGTATTCGGGAGTTGTATAATCTCATAGTCATAGGAACATGTATAAGTCATGAAGAAAGCAATATCAATAAACTAAATGATCATAGTGCTAAGCTAACGGATGGGTCTAGTCCATCACATCATTCTCTAGTGATGTAATCCCGTTCATCAAATGACAACACATGTCCATGGCTAGGAAACTTAACCATTTTTTATTAATGAGCTAGTCAAGTAGAGGCATACCAGGGACACTCTGTTTGTCTATGTATTCACACATGTATTAAGTTTCCGGTTAATACAATTCTAGCATGAATAATAAACAATTACCATGATATAAGGAAATATAAATAACAATTTTATTATTGCCTCTAGGGCATATTTCCTTCAAGAACTGCCCCAAAGGTTCGCGGGGAATGTATCAAGGTCACACCAGATAGGCCACCATCATACTAGAAGTGATGTCATCACGCGGCTTATGGATTTGGCATGCTTTCTTTGGAATGTCGTGTTCTCACAACCACATCAACGTGCTTCAACGATCTCGTCGTTCATGAGGCTTTGTAATGGGGAATCACCGTCGTGTAACTACACTGTCAATGGCCGAGACTACAACATGGGATACTATCTTGCCGATGGTATCTATCCTCAGTGGGCGGCATTTGTGAAGACCATATCCGAGCCACGTGGCAATAAACATAGCCACTTTGCAACAATGCAGGAAGCGGCTAGGAAGAATGTGTAGAGGGCATTTGGTGTGCTTCAAACTCGTTGGGGGGATTGTGCGGAGCACTGCAATGATGTGGGAATCAGAAACTTTATGGCAACTGATGACATGTTGTGTTATTCTGCACAATATGATTGTCGAGAATGAGAGTGATGGTGTAACATAAGCCCATGATTTCGAAGCACCCGGAGAACAAGTTGAAATCTCAGAAGATCAAGATGTGGTTCAACTGATGAACTTTCTGCGTATGCATCAAAATCTTTGAGATCAGCAAGTGCACACGCAACTACTCAATGAAAATGATAACAAGGAGACAATGCTTGAGTTTGACACTTAAAATAAATTTTATGTAAACGCTATATATGCTTCATACCAACATTTGCTATTTACGTGCTTTTGTATGATCGACATGCATGTATTTGCATGAATTTGAGAGTCCGAATTTGAGATATATAAATGCCGGGACCGAAATATGAGGGCTCGTCCAGCTCCTCGGCTCACCTGATGAACTTTCTGCAGATATATCAGAATCTTCGATATCAGCAGGTGCACACGCAACTACTCAATGATCTTGTGGATCACATATGGACCCACAATGGCAACCAAGGAGACAATGCTTGAGTTTGACACTTAAAATAAATTTTATGTAAACGTTATCTATGCTTCGTACCAACATTTACTATTTACGTGCTCTTGTATGATCGACGTGCATGTATTTGCATGAATTTGAGAGTCCGGATTTGAGATATATGAATGCCAGGACAGAAATATGAAGAGCTGGACCCGTAACACGCTCCATGGGCTTTGACTAGTTGTGTCGTGTGTGTTTTTTATTTTTGGGGCTTGTTGAGCTGTGCCCTCAGCATTAACCCATTCGATACGCTGTATTTTTGTTGACCTTTCATGCGTGTGTGTGTGATGTGATCTTTTGTTGAATGCTTGGTTTGGACAATTTGCTTTGTATATAAAATGAGGCGAAAACTTTTTTTTTTATAATATGAAGGCTTGTCTCGATGCGTCCGCGGGCCGCCCGGTCGCATCCGCGGCCGTTTGTGACGCGGAATTTGCCAAGTCCATGCTGTAAAAAGGACAGGAGTGCTTCGTGCCGGTGCCACACGTGTGACATCATTTGAGTTTTTTTGTGCGCTGCGCCCATTGCGCCCTTCGTTCGTTCGTCATATTCCGTTCTGAATGTCTCTCCCCCAATTTTTCCTTCGCGGCGGCAAGGTGAAGAGGCAGCTTTCTCAATAAATAAATAAATATAGAGAAGATCCAGAGGCAGCGGCAGGAGCTTGCGGAGGCGACTGCTGCCGCCGTCTAGGGTTCAAGCCGACAGATCGTGCCACCCGCACCGCCGGCCAAGTTCGGCCGCGGCGAGGACAAGCAACGACCATATCCTGTGTCTGCGTTCCGCGTCAAAGAGAAAGAGCAGGTCTGAGCATACTATCTTCTTCGCTTCCGTGAAATTCGTTGGGGGAAAAGAGCGGTTGCTTCCAAATCGATCGCCCTGTTTCCTCTGATTCTCCATCGACTCGTCTAACCGCATCAGCACTAGAGGAAACTATTGGGATTTCTCGAAATTTTGTTGCATGTGTCTGTACATATTTTGATAATTCTGTTAGAAATGTCGGATGCTAGTATGTTACTCCACGAACGTACTATTTCGAAAATTTCTTTCTACTCTGTTAGACCGTCTAGTTTGTCAGGTAAACATGATACTTATTTATCAGGCAGGCTATCAAAACATATTTTCATGCTAGTTACAGTTTTACTGATACTAGAGGTTACTGGGTAAAGTTCTTCGCTCAAATATTGTGAAGGTCAACAGCGAAGAAAGTAAATGAATAAACATCAGGAATATAGTGCTTTTTAGGCAAGTGCTGCTTTTAACCCAATTTTTTCAGAGTATGCCGTGGTAACTGACTTTTGCACATTTTCCTTTAAAGTACTGTATGAAATAGTTAGTTTATTCAACTTTTTCTTCCTGACATTTCCCTTGAACTCAAAGCCACAGGACCCACAAGCAGTGTAAACATACAAATTAGAGTAAAACTGCTGAATGTACTTACAGATGAAAATTATGATGGATTTTATTCGAACAAAGGAATTACAGATATTTCATTTATTCGCTCATGTAGTCCTAAAAATGTTTCTTTGATTGACATGACTTCAGTATAAACTTCTTGCATAGTTGGTCGGTCTTTTGGTGAATCCACAGAGCATTTCAGACCTAGTTTCACCAGTTGCATTGTACATTCTTGCACGTCGACCATTACATGTGTCCCATTGCCTGAAGGTTTACTTGTGTGTTCGTCCTGGTATTGTGGAATAAAATTGGGCTCTAGAATATCACCAATCTTGTGAGGAAATGCCAGTTCCACAAACTTGTGGAGACCATGTCCATCCTTAAACATCTCATCTGTTGGGTTCTTTCCCATCAGCATTTCTAGCAGAATAATTCCATAGCTGTAGACATCCCCCTCAGTAGACATGTTGCTACCCATGCCATACTCTGCAAAATTTGCAAATATGTCCTGTGAAATCCTTTCAACTGCTTAATCATTAGGTAATATTTATTTTTGAAATGACTGTATTTGTTTTTTTACTGAAAGCATATGCATTGGACACTTAATTTAGGTACATAATTCTGGTGCTCCAGTACATCATTTTTTTGATAAAGGTAAACATGGTTTCCTTTTAGAAATAATGGGCAGGGGGTAAACATGATTTTTCAAGGAAGTACAACTTAATTTGAATATATTGACAATAAAAGAATGAAATGTCTACTAACCTGGTGCAATGTATCCAATTGATCCTCTTGCCCCTATCAAGCTTTTGGATGGATGGTCATAAAGAAACTTTGCTAATCCAAAGTCACCAACACGAGCACACATGTCATCGTCCAAAAGGACATTGCTTGGCTTTAGATCACAATGGATCAAAGGAGGCATGCATCTGTTATGGAGATAGTCCAAGGCAGCAGCTATATCCGTCGCAATTCTTATCCTTAACCCAAGATTCAGTGGCCTTTTTGAGCCATGATTTTCTGTTACTGGATGAAGCCAACTTTCTAGGCTACCATTTGACATGTGCTCAAGAACTAGAGCTTTGAACTCATTTCCTGATGGATCAAATGTAGAACACATGCTTATCGCCCTTACGAGATTTCGATGGCGTGTGTTTTTCAGGGCCTCACACTCAGCAATGAAACTTTTTGATGCTCCATCTTGATCAAGCCTGAACACCTTGACTGCAGCTATGCGGGGTTCAGCCAAGAATGTACCTCTATAGACAGATCCACACCCTCGCTCTCCAACCAGGTTAATAGAAGAGAAACCACCTGTTGCCTTGTATAGATCATGATATGAAAATCTTTTCCACCCCTCGGACTGCTGGTTGATTGGTTGTTTAGTTGCTTCCCGCTTTCTGTGTACAATGGCTATGACACATATGAGTGAGACTAGAACAATGGTAACAATAGGGACCACCACCATTAGAACATATGAACTCCTTTTTCTTTTGAATGTGGACTTAATACAAGGTTGTAGTTGCAGCATTTGAGAATTTGTGCACAGATTTTTGTTTCCTTGGATGAGCACCAGACTTGAATTGCCAAACACACCAGTTGTAGGTACTGGCCCTTGAAAGTTGTTGAAGGACAGATTCAGAAGCTGCAAAGAGCTGAATGACTCGAAGAAGCTTGGAATTTCACCAGACAAGCTGTTCTGCGACAGATCCATCTCAACAACGCCTCGCAGGTTCATAAAAGATCCAGGAATGCCACCTTCAAGATAATTTGCATCCAAACGAAGCGACTCCAAGTGAAGGCACTGGCCGAGACTGTTGGGAATTTTTCCAGATAGCTGGTTGTTGGAGATTAACGAGCTCAAGATTATTTAAGCTGCTAACTTCTGATGGTATCAGTCCAGTTAGTTGGTTATATGACAAGTCTAAGCCTTCAGAAAGTGAGGAAATAGAAAACAGTTTTGGAGGGATGCTTCCATGAAAGGTATTACAAGAAAGGTTTAGTCTAGTCAGGCTTCTGCATCCTGCTAAACTGGCAGGTATCGACCCACTTAATATGTTCTTCTCCAGATAAAGTTCACTTAGCTTCTCAAGGTTTCCAATTGATCGTGGACTTCTCCAGAAAATTTGTTTTCTGCTAAATTCAGGACAAACAGAGTCTGAATATTTCCAAGTGTAGCAGGAATATTCCCTGAGAGGAAATTTCTCTCCATATGAATAAGAGTGAGACTGCTGAGATTTCCTATATCTGGATGTATGAAACCAGTTATTTGGTTATCATTCAGAAGCAACCACTGTAAGTTTTTCGGAAGATTGCCAATGGAAGTAGGTAACTCTCCTTGAAGATTATTCCTATCCAAGTATAACTTTTGCAACTGGGTGCAACTTGTTAGTGAGGACAAGAAAGTCCAGTCACCAGCTTCAAGCAGATTGTCACCCAGATCTAGAGTGACCAAGTTTGTCAAAGACCCCAGAGAAGGAATGATACCACTGAATGCGTTATTGCGGAGGCCAAGGTATTTTAGGTCAGAGGCATTTGCCAAAGAAGCAGGTACTGGGCCATCAAACTGGTTACCTTGCATTACCAACATCTGAATTCTCAGAAGTGTATAGCCAATGTTGGTTGGAATTCTCCCAGATAGCTGGTTGGCTCCAAGGTCAAGATAAGTTAGAGATGGGATTGCATATATAGTTGGAGGAACTGTGCCTGACAAGTTGTTATATGTCATGTCTAATACTTGCAAACCTGCAAGGCTACCTAAGCTCTCTGGAATGCTCTCTTGTAAGTTGTTCAGAGCAAGCAATAGGAAGGATAGGGAGGAAAAGTTCCCTAATGAGCTAGGTATGCTCCCTGAAAGGTTATTGCTAGTCAAGCTAAGATATTTCAAGGGAGAGGATGCATGAGCGAAGGACGGGATTGACCCGGAAAAACCATTGTAAGAGAGATTTAAGGTGTAAAGCAATGAGCTATTGAATAGTGCAGGAGGGATCTCTCCACGGAGCTTGTTTGATGCAAGGTTGAGGTAAGCAAGCGAGGAGGAATTCACTAGGAAGCGTGGAATTTCTCCTGTGAACGCATTGTTGTCGAGAGCAAGCTTGGTAAGACGCGAGTTGCCTCCTAGGAACCGAGGAATGGTGCCTGAAAGCTTGTTCCTAGCAAAGGATAATATAGAAAGGTTCGGAAGCAAGGCAAACCCGGGTGGTATGTGCCCCTGAAGAAAGTTGTCACTGAGGACAAGCTGTTCGAGGGATGAACTTTGAGCAAGAGCTGAAGGGATCTCACCTTCCAGGAGGTTGCTTGACAGGCTTATGATCTCCAGGCGGGAACACATTGACAGTGCATCGGGGATCATGCCGCCTATGGAGTTGATGCTGAGGTTTAGTTGTCTGAGTTGTGCCAGGCGGCCTATCTCCGGGGGAATGCTGCCACTGATCTTATTGTCCGGCATGTTTATCCTGGTCAAGAAACTGAGGTTGCCAATGCAAGGAGGAATCTGACCGGTAAGGTTCAGCGACATGAGGTCTAGCGCAACAACACGAGGTGCTGCACTCTGCACGGTGCTGCATGTCACACCGCGCCATTGACAGAAGCTCTGGGAGTCGTGTCGCCATGTTGCCAGCGCTCCAGTGGTGAGGTTGCTGGCAAGGCCAGACTTGAGGCAGAGGAGCGTCTGTTGGTCGGCGTCAGAGTTGTTCCAAGATGGAGCTGCGGCATCGAGGGCACTGGCGGAGGGCTCCGGTGGGCAGGGTATGGCATCCGCCATACCTTGATTCTGGGACAATTTTTTTTATACCTATGCATCTATCGATCGGCAGACTCTGGATCGGCATCGGCTGTTTCGTTCGACCGCAGCCAGCAGCGCTGGCCTGATGGGCCGACGCATCCAGCTGTTGGGCCACGCAGGCAGGCACGACAGGTTCGATTCCATTGAGAGTGTCTAAAAAAAGGTTTGATTCGATCGAGCGGCCACACACACAACGCACACGCACGCACGCGACCAACTCTACCCAGACGCGACGCAACCCTAAGCAGCTAGCGCGATGGCGGCTGCTGGCCATGTCGCGAGGACCAGGCGGGCGACTGATGACGGGGGCAGCTGACGGCGGCGGCAGGCTGGGGGCTTATAGGGCTGCCGCTGCAAGCTCCAGCGAAGGAAGCAAGCGGCGGCTTCAGTGGCGGTAGAAGCAAGTTCCAGCAGACGACGGCAGTTGGGAATTTTCCTGGCCATTCCCCGGTGTACGAATCAGAGGACTAATTGCAGCCACTTTGTTGGGTATTGGCAATTTTTCTTCTGTCAATTCTGCAGGATCTGAACCAACTACAGTAATTCTGAATATAACGGATAAAAATTTATGTAGCGACCTTGTACAATATGGTGGAAAGTTTGTCTATATTTTTTCATTCATGCTAGTGTACTGTGGACGCACAAGTTTTTGTTTTTAGATGATTATGCATAAAAGCTAATAAGATGCCCAACCGGCGCAGTTCTAGACGCCATTGAAATCTTCATTATTGGTTTGTTTTAGGTTATTTTCCTATTGAAATATGCCTACATTTTCATTGTATTGGGGTTAACGTTTGTAATGTGTATTGACTCTTTTGATTTGCATCAAAAAAATTCTTTCCTTAAGACTTCGCCACACCTTAAAAAAAATTCGTCCTCCGCCTCTGATCGAGGGAGTGCGTGCAGGGGAAGAACAAGGCCACCAAAATGGTCGACAGAGAAAGAAGCAGTGTAGGGAAAGATGGTTCCATGTGAGTACCTAGATGAAAATTGCTTCATGTGTGTGTTTTAGCTTCATTAATTTGGATTTATGCGCATCACAGCGCTTTCT